GGTGCCATCCACGTAACCAAGGGGCCGTTCCCAGACAGAGTATCTAAGTGTTGGTGTCCCGAGGATCGATCTTGATTGTTGTCATTTGATTGTTTTGGGCTGGTGCTTCTTCCCTTCCACGAGTTAGTCTCCCCCGCCACGCGTATATATTCACCCCTGGACGCATGGTCCAAACAGTCCGTGATCATATGATGTTTTTGGGTCCATTGGATGAAATGAGTAGTCTCAAGCGCAAACGAAGGTACAAGACGTCTTTTCGAGCCGGTGGTGGTCTATTTCATGTAAGAAAAAAGAAAGCAATTTGATTTTAGTGATCCTCGAAAAGATAAAATACAAAGAACAGCGATTCCAATCACAATAATGTGTATTTCCACCTGACCTGCATATTCTTCGTGTACCCTCCACCCCAACCCACATAGCAGCAACACGGTCACTTTCCAGGTCCGGAAATGGAGGGTCCCAGGTCGTCCATGCCCGGTGTCCATCACCTTTTCAGGGCGCGAGCCGGCATTTGAGCCCAGAGGCCGGCAAGGGCCGCCAATCCAATGGCATTGGTCGATAAAAGAGAAAAAACGATCAAAGAGAAAACTACATTGTAGCACCAACCTTCATAAAGCTGAGTAAACTGATCATACCTGCTGAAGACCGTTGTAACAAGCTGCTGAGTAAACTGATCCTGTTCAGAAGTGGCACCACCATTGTTGCTCCCACAGTTTCATGTGTGGTGGTGTTCTTTTCCATGCTTGGCATGGAGATGAAGATTGGCTGGTGCGCGTGCAAATCAAGACTTCAAACCACTACTTTGGAGCTTTCATTGTGGAAGCGGTGTGGCAGTGTTGCAACGCGAGTGCAGTAGTACCACCTGTTGGAGGGTTTACTGAGTGCATTGTGGACAGCGAAACCTGGGACACAGCCTTTGGACGCATTTGGAATAGCTCATGGCAGACACAAATACTGTAGTTGCATCAGATTGGATCACAGACAGGCAATGCGCCAAATCACCCCCATGATTGTTTTTAGGCGTCTTATGGACCTGGACATCGATTACAAAGCTTATAACAAAATTGAAATACTTAGTGATTCGTAATATATGTATTTTACTTGGGAATATTATTCAGAATATTACGATAAGGCCTACCAACAGGGGCGCGCGCAATTCGGCCAAGCCAAAATTCCCAAAAGTCTGCCAAGATTTTGGGATTTGTTGCAAATATATTTTTCCTTTTGGCGGCTTCATATTTGGTGCTCGGTTTTAGCGTTAGCGGAAAGGACCCGAAATAGTTGGATTATGTTGGAAGTTTTAAATTGTCGACTCGACGCCCATATCGAAATAATGCACAACATTCCAGAGACTCATATGCAGGTGAATCCACAACAGATTCTACCAAGCAGTTACAACCATACACAATCATGTATTATATTGATATCCAATGTCCACCCAGGTGTTTGTATCTAATGTCCAATCCACTATTAAAATTTCAGCTTCAACCGATAAGATCCGGTTCACCCGATTGTTGTTTTTTTAACCAGGTTTGCTAAGCTTGGGTGATGCTACCTCAATGGCTTTTCCACCCATGCGACCTACTAATTCCGCAGGCATACAAAAGAAACACGGCCGCTATTTTCTTTGTATATGTTTATATATTCTAGCTATTATGTCGGCCTTTGCCCCGCTACCACCTTTATTTTGCTCCTCTTCCAACCTGTGAATCTTCTATTCTTTTCCCCCGTAATCGCCCGCTGTTGGAAACAGCGGGCCAACTCTAATTTGTATTTGTATATATATATATATATTAAATATAATCACGAAAGCTAGCATGCTAGCTGAGTTGTTGTGGTGGGAGGGGCTGCGTGCCTTAAAGATTCATATATCAAGCTAACCCCGCCCCCCCCCCCCCCCCGGCCCAACTCCCAGCTGCGCCGTGTAGGGGGTTGGTTGAACGTGTGAACGTGGTTGGTTGGGTGTAACGGTGGCTTGGTGTAAAGGGTGCTGCTGCTGCTGCCGCTCTGCTGTTTGCTGCTGCTGTTTGCTGCTGCCGCTGGTTGCCGCTTTTGTAGCTGCTGCTTTGCTACTTGTTGCGGCTTGGTGCTGCTGCTGCTGTTGCTGACGACGCCGCTGCTACTGCTGCTTGTTGCTTGCTGCTGCTGCTTGCTGCTTGCTGCCGGTGGTGCTGCTGCTGCTGCTGCTGCGGCTTGATGCTGCGCTGCTGCTGCGTGGTGCTGCTGGCTGGCTGCTGGTTGGTGGTTGCTGCTGGCTGCTGGCTGCAGGCGGCTGCTGCTGCTGCTGGCTGCTGCTTGCTGCATAGGACTTGTACTTCACCGTTATAAGTTGTTTACCTCTATTTCTAACCTAATGCATGCATAAGCGGGTGGTAAATTTACCCCCCAGGCTTGCTATAACCATACACCGGCTATTTCTTCAAGACACTCTATTCTTGATACCTTTTACTAGTCTTATCCTACACTACGGACGCCCTAGTGTATGCACAGTCCTTGTGATGCTTACCCCTCGTTCCGGCTCAACCATAAGCCGGCTATTTCCTCAAGACACTCTACTCCTTATACCTTTTACCAGATCCTACACTACGGACGCCCTAGTGTATGCACAGTCCTTGTGATGCCAGAAATGCTTACCCCTCTTTCCAGCGCAAGGCATACATAAGCGGGGGG